ATGCTTGCAGAAAAGTTTCCGCCTAAGAGCCCACCTGATTTTCTAGCACCAGCAGCTGAATTGCGAAGGGAGCCATTAAACTATGGAGTGTCATGGCATGGTTATTTTGTTTAAAGACGATACCTGTATAATATTCTTCTAAAATGTGTGGAAATGAAAACACTATGTAAGGATTTCATTTTTAATATGCAAAAATGTCACATCAGTGGTTTAATGGAATTATGTAATTCAGCACTTTCATATATATGCTACAATCAAAACAAAGTAAAGTTAAAATATGCTTACTGCCAGCTGAAAACTAGCTGATAATTGTATGAAATATTATTATGATAATTACTTGGTGTGTGACAGACTAAATGATGACCGCACAGATTTCACCCTGTATCCTTTGGTGTAATGAGTTACGACAAACTTTGGTCTCTGACCACAAATAAATTTGTTGTGATGCAATGCATTTGCAGACATATGCAGCTACTTACATGCTGTAAGTGACCTGACCTTTTGTCCCAAGAAACCACTGGGTTCAGGGGTTCATTTTTGTCCCTGCCTTTAATCAACAATGCAGTGTTTTCAGTTTTTACTGTACATGTATGAACTACTTTCACTTTACATGTCAAAAATAGTACTGTATATAGTTGATGTATATAGTTCAGGGTTTTTGTGGCAGGGATTGCATTCAATGTGTGCTTGTGTTCTGTTGCTTCTGTGCAGGTGCCAGAGGGGAAAATAAACGAGAAAAGACAAGGTCCATTCTCTGATTCCTTCTTCCAGCTGGCCTCCACTACAACACTGTACTGAATACTGGATGCCTATTGATGTTGTTTAAACATTGTGTTGGTAAAACAAAAATAAAATAAAATCCTGAGTTTTCTCCTATGTCCATGATGCAGCTTTGGTACAATTTCCTCATATCTTACTGACAATTTTTAACAGTGGTCAGTTACAGTATTCAGTCTCAAAAGGCTTTGATTAGTCATGTTTTATATAGTTCATGAAAACTGAAATGACAGGAACAAAACACTCCAAACAAAGCAATAAAACTGTATTTTATTCATATTTAAAGCACATTATTGTCACTCTGTACAGTATCCTTTGGGGATCTGACTTATAGTTACATTGTTTCCTCAGTTTAATTCCAGCAAACATGTTTTAACTAAATTAAGTTGAAGAAGAGAAAAGGAGAGTTTTCTTAAACCTCTAGTTACATATAAACATTTCTTGAAAAACATTTATTTGAACATGTAGTTAACCACCTTTTCCACACTGAAATAATGTAAATATAATTGTTAATATAAATGTCTACGTGCCTTTTGACCCACAAATCACCAGATCAGTGTTATTTATTATATATTTCTTAATATAATTAGCTATATAGCAGCAACATGTACTGTACTGACATTATATTCTTTTTAGGGAATAATTTTTTGCAACCTCATAAATTTGTCGGTAATATTTTCTTGTCAGTGAGATGTCATTTGATTGAAGCCCATCAGCCAGTATCCACTGTAAACAGCATATAAAGAAATAAAGGTTATAGACAGAGACATAACGTTTATTGTGGAGGGTGTAGTTTATCAAGTCCTCTAACCAGATTGTGTATGTTTTTCACCTCACTGGTGGAATGCCTAAACAGTCAGTTTTAGGTGGAGTCATCTTTTGCTTGGCCTTGGTTTTGTAACTAGCAAATATTATTGACTTGACACTGTGCTGCTTGATTTGGACAGCTCAGTTTGTGAGTTTGACCTGCCAGGTGATCTGACTGTAAGCAGATTATGGCTTGAGGCGACAGAGGTGGGAATGTGATAAGGGCTGAAACGCAACCAGAGCTGAGAGCTGTGGAAATAGTGGTTTCTGGTGAGCAATGAGGTTGCAGAGCAGGTGGGCATTGCTGGAGCAATAACAGCTGGTGCTGCCATGTAGCAGTATAGATATGAGAACAATCCTCCAAAGGGTGAGAGTGAGATTCCCTGTATGAAAAAGTAAATTTGTTAAGTTTCCTATAAGATAATATCATGGATTTTCTAATCAACACTTTACTTATTCAGTATTGACATTAACCAAACAAAGTTACAATACCACACATTCCTCAGTGATTTCATTTAATTTATACTGATTTTATTGTGAATATCCAAGGTGTAAGCCCATGACGTCAATAATGGCAATTAGATCTAATTGTGTGAAGTAACAAGAGTAGTATAGCACATATACTTGAAAAACAAGATAATTATAAAACCACCAATATTCACACACTGATGGGGAACCAAGTGAATGGCTCCTGGTAGTACACAGAGGAGAAATATGCCACCAGGAGAGGTGCTCTTACTTAAGAAAAGTTAGAGCAAGTGAATTCTCCCCATTCTGGTTCCCCTAGTTATCTGGTCCAGGTGTTTCTCCAACAGGTGTTTCTTTTTTGGGGCATTTTGAGCTTGGAGTTTTGGCAGATTTTTCTGTGAGAAAATACAGTATGTTGGGTGTAAATGCAGCTTTAAGGATCTGGCATACCTGAGATTGTAGCATGTTCTGTGACAGGTGAAACATGAAGGGAGATGATGAAGCAATGCTTTGAGGTTATTCCAAGTTATTTAATGCTCCATGTAAGGTGGAAAATAGATGTCCCATACCGGTAGTATGAAAAGTCTCTGGTTTCACTAACAGTTGTCCAGGATAAAGCAGCAAAGGTGTCCCAAGCTTCAGAAACTGTTGGCTGTGTGCACTTGAGAAATCTGAAGTGTGAAGGTGACCAGCGCTGAGGGATGGTGAGCTCCGTGACTGCAACATAACAGGGAGAACTCCATCTTTGATTTCACTCATCTGCTTTTTTGAAGAGTCCATCTCCACAGTGTGCTTATGATGTGGTGTTCTAAACACTGTCCTTTCTTTCGTTGTGTCCTCATTGTCATTGCTCTTACTGAGAGCAAACCTGCTCCGCAGTATCTCCTCACTTTTCAGGTTCAAGGTGGATGTATGTTCAGTCCTGGAGCAACTGGCTTCAGCAGTGGTCTCATCCTGTAGATCAGTATCTGAATCACTTCCAGTATAATTGTTCTCATCTATGGGGCAAAAAAAACCCATTATTTTTTAAAATGTATTTGTAATTCAAAGCAAAAAGAGTGTTTAGTTCACAGTGGCAAAAGGGATGACAGACTTAGTGCAAACATCTTGAACCATGAAGTGTTCATATGTTACTAAGACAACGGGAACAGTTGATTCCTTAAAGCAGCAAAGTGTTTTGTGTCAGACTGAGTCAGACAGTCACCTGTGGTTGAAATCCACTTCCCTCCATTTTTGTGTGGTTCACATTGCTGCCATTCTAGTGCATATTGTGTAACCATAACAATTCCAGCCAGAGATATGTGTCACGTCATACGCTCCTCATTCTCCCCATTTCCTGACTGTCGCCTAAATCATTTTAAACCATGGCTGCTTTACTGCTAAAAGGTTTCTGAGTTGTAAAGTATAACTTAACATTGCTTCTGCGTAGTGACTGCAATGTTTAATGTGTTAGATCAACACATGGTCCTACAAATAATTTGGTTTAATACCATGAAGGCTGCTTAATGACATAAGAAATGAACCCACCTTGACAGGTTGGGGTGGAGATCAGAGGGCTGCTGATCAGTTCTCAGGGGGAATATAAGGAATCACCGTTACAGGGCTGTTGGGCTGAGTCATCAGAATCAGCACACTTCCCTCCTGCTTTGTTTTGACTTTCATGCAGCGAAGAGACATTTAACTGCTTATTCCCGTGGATCGCAAATTTAGATTAAATATATAAAAGTATGTCCTTTGCTATCCAGATGTATTTTGGTGGCAAAAACCTCCTCTTTCCTTGTCTCCCATTTCCAGTGTCTCTAAATCCTTTGGCAAAGGGATTGTTGTCGATTTTTAGCTGTGTGATCTTGAGAGAAAAAATACATTCTGAAGGATAGTTACTGCAAAAATACATCTCAGTTTGTCACACAACAGTGACAAATAAACAAAGCTCTTACTCTATGTGCAACTAATGAGGGCCCGGTTTAAGGCCCTGTAACTGTGAAATACAGTGTAGCTATACTCTGTTTCCCAGTACTGCCCCAACAGATGCCAGTCCTCCCCAAAATCTTTTTCACACACACCTAACTAGATAATATCTGCTGGATGAGCTTGTTGGTGTGGAGACTAGAAGATGGGGGAGAATATAAGTTACCTCGTCATTCTGATACACAGTGACAACCATGAGCTCTGTCTCTGGAAAAATTAAGTCCTGAAGGTGTAATATGGAAGCTTCAATACGTCGTTGGCTCTGACAATATGAAACCTGGGTTGGTATTTATGCATTGAATTCAAAATAGTCTGAAAATTTAAATAAGAATTAATATTCATTTGTTATTAAGTAAGCAATTGACATAATTATAGGCTATAATTATGTCATGTGGAACATATGTAACAAGTTCAATATAACACTAATAGTGACAATTCTAGTAATCAACCAGAATAAAAGGCTAAAACCACAACAGTTCATATTTCAGTTAGTGCTACTTACATATCTGTGCTTATCCGAAATAGTATTGGTGAGTTTAAGTTTGTTATGGTAGCTCGACACAACTGTGAGCGAGCAGAGAATAAACAGACCCAGGCGGCTGGCTTTGGTGGAAGCAGTGTATTTATTTACAGTGCTAACAAAGGTGCAATAACAATATACAAAAGTGGATGGAATGAATATCACCAGGTGTTGACCAACAGTGGTAGAGGGGTTATTGTCCGTGGAGTGATGAAGGCTGGCTGCGAGGGTAGGAGTCACTCCTGGGCTGGTCAAGGTGGAGATCCGGTTGACTGAGGAGGTAACAGAGAGTGCAGTGAATGAGGGGACTGTGCATCGACCTGTGAAGGTGGTAGGTGGAGCTGAGGTTGCCAAGGTCCAGAGGAGAGATCCAGGTAAAACAAAGAGAACGCTAGGAATAAATAACATACGTGGAAAACAGGAGAAAAATAGAACAATACGTAAATGCTAGGGAGGCTAACGACAGAGAAAGAACTAGCAAGGGAGTGAAGGTAAAGCCGAGTATAAATAGGGAGTGACAAAGGAGGCGCAGCTGAAGAGTGTCAGAAAATCAGGACAGGTGTGTTAATCAAGAGAGTCAGTGAGAAGGAGCAGACTAGAGCGAGAAAGAGAGAAGAGAGGAAGTTGCAGCCGGGCAAACCTGACATGTGGAAAGCAACTGGCTTGCTCATCCACTGCTCTCCTTTGGACAGGCTGTCTGGGTGGATGTACATGCGCTTTGGCATCTCCGGTTCAGCTTTTCCAGCCACCATCCAGCGGGAGTTGTGAAAATTGTAGCAGCAGTCATCAATAGCCACAATGTTCATCAGCAGGATATACTTTGCTCTATCATCCAGGCCTTCCACTCGCACTTTGAAAGGCGGAAACATCCTCCTGCAGCAAAGAATTTAAATTGATAGGCTATATTAAAAATAATTTGGACTTTGTGCAAATTGGGAACACCCAGATGTCTTTGTGGAAGCACACTACAGAAAATGTCAAGTGGTGGATTTAGACATCAGATCAGAGAAAGAATTTAACACTGGTCCCCAACCTATGATTCTGTGATGGATTCGTAAAGATCACAAACAGAAGAAGAAGAACTGACTGATGATTTTGACCATTATATAACGTGTTTTTATTGTTGACCTTATAAAGTGTAAAATTTTTGTTAGTTTTCTTTTTTGTTTGTTTTCCTCAGAGCAAGACGACAAGAGAAACGATCCTCTAATAAAACTATATAAATGTGGTGATAAATTGAAAAGTATAAAAGAATGAAATTATTTCATTTAAAATTCACGACTAAGTCCCAAACTGGCATTTTCAAGCACTGAAGTGACAGCCTGAAAGCACTTTGTAGTTTACGCACCTTCCTGATTTTGTAACAACTATTTCAGTTCCCATTCTGTGAAATTCTTTCCATAAACAGTTTGATTCCAGTGCGACTTTTGGCTCACCAAACAGCCCTTCATCTAGCTGCAGGCTCTTCAGTGTTGGGTGACGTTGGCGTCTCAGAGCTGCGTGTAGCTCTGCATCAGAGACAGCATCCTCCGACAGAGGCTCGGACAGGGAGGCGACGTCTGGAAAAGTGAGCGCAGGGGAAAACGAAGGCTGAGCAAGGAAGGCCGACAGGGACACAGCACCTAATCGATGAGCTTTAGGATGGTAAGCCATGGCAGCTGCTGTGTCAAGTGGATCTGTCATCAAGGCACACGATCAGAAAAGTCGATATTAGGCTACTTGCTGCTGCAGGAGCATGCGTTTACATCCAAACGGTGGCAGCCCTTTAAGAGTTTGTGAGTTTTGTATCATGACCAAGAGATCATGAGATGAAAGTCTCCACAAGTCTCTAAATAAATCAGGAAAAAGCACGTATAGACCTTTTTTTGCTGGTAGATCTACCGACAAGAGGCCAGAGCACTGTGGAACTATGCGCCAAGCTGCCTGCTCAGAAAGTGGCACCAGTAGGTGAGTGGCCTACAGAGAGAAGCAAGGAGATGTACAGTAACACGCTTCTGTGCAGCCCAGCACACTGAACACCAAGTTTTCTATTGTCTTAGCATAAACCAGGTAGCAGAGCATGAATGAATACATTAAAAGTAGTTTGTGTATTTATAACAACAACAATAATAATGGGTGCCATTTATTTATTTATCACGATCATGGTTGTTGTTGCTGTGGTAAATAGGCCCCCACTGTTTAAATACACTCACAAATAGGTATAAATTAAGCTAAAATATGCCTATATATGCTATGTTTAACTGTTTAATAACTATCTCAGAGACCCCCCTGTTGGACAGGGTGCACAGTCCACTCCTTTGGCTCGGAATAAGAGACATTGTTTTAACGCTTAGCCTCCTCCGGTGTGTTTATTTTGTTACAACAAACATACAACTTAACATGGGGCTGTGAAATGGCATCAGTCAATAGAAAAATAATAAGAGCTCTCTTCTATGCTCCTTCTCTCGAGAAGTGATCCTCACACTCTCGCTCTCTTACATAACCGGAAGTATGTACAATAATGTCCTTCAAAACAAAAGCATGTTTCATACAATGAGTAAAGGCGTATTCAATAATTAACATCTTAACACCCCCACTCGCGTTTATCTCGTTGTGTCCTGAGGATATAACATAAATATATTCTTCCTTTCACCCTATATATATATATACACACATATACATATACACACCATAACGGGCAATGCTTATGCTTTCAAGTGCCAAACATTTTCTGAACAAACCTTTTTAACTTTACTTTACTAACTGGCTTTGTCATCACATCTGCAAGCATTTGCTCAGTGGGACAATACTCAAGGGATACTCTTCCGCTGTTGATAACCTCTCTTATGAAGTGGTACTTAATGTCTATATGTTTACACCTTTGTCTGTTCACAGGATTTCTGGCCAATGCAATAGTACCTTGGTTATCTTCATACACTCTTGTTTGAGTATAAGGATAATTGTCTATCCCTTTCAGTAGCTGATCCAGATATATACATTCCTGTATAGCTGTTGCTAAGGCAATGTATTCAGCTTCACATGTAGATAGTGCAACTGTAGGTTGTTTTCTTGTCTTCCATGATATTAGAGAGTTCCCTTCATTTAGACTGACACAATAACCTGAAATACTGTGTCT